GGGGGGGGGGGGGGGGGGGGGGGGGGGGGTGGGGTAGGTGTGCGGGAAGACTTTTTTGTGCGCCCTTGGGCATGGAAGCATCTTTAGGCATTTTTTTAATATTTTTTGTCTTTTTCCGGCAGGTCTTCGAAGGGGAACGTTCGATGACGCGCGACAACCGCCTCCTGGGGAAGTTCGAGCTGTCCGGGATACCGCCGGCCCCGCGCGGCACTCCTCAGGTTGAGGTGTCGTTCGACGTCGACGCCAACGGCATCCTCCAGGTACGTGTAATGCACATTGCACGGGACCGATATTCAAAGCTCGACTAACACCACAGCAGAGAGAGACAGAGACAGAGACAGAGACAGACAGAGAGAGAGGGAGGGAGAGAGGGAGACACAGAGATACGGAGACAGAGACAAGAGAGAGGGAGAGAGTGGCGGTGCCAAAAATATCGGCGTTGGAACCGTTGGCGGAAAGTCGGAGTTGTTCGTATCGGTGTTATGCCACGATGTCGCGGTCACTTGACAAATGCCATGGTTTGTCATGATTTCTGGGACCCTGCGTGGGGAGGAGGTGTGCCGTTCGTTCGATTTCATGCCGTTCCGTGTATGCTTTGTTATTTCGCGAGCCTGGCTGGGCGTAAGTAATTTTTTCTCAACCATAGAAGTATTACACCTTTATGTATTTGTTTTATTCTCGTCCTATTTGTTTTGGCGACAGTCCCCCCATTTTTCGTGGTGAGGCGTGTACTACACAGTTCGGTGCATGTTTTCGTACAGCTACAACCATCCAGGGTCACACAGGAGGCGGTAAACACCAGGGCTCTCTTTAGAAGTACGACGTGTAGAAACACACAACTGACTATCGTGTCATTCGTACGAACAGCTCCCATCAACGCAATCTGTGAATCTTGTGTTTGTTGAACGGCGTGCACGGCTGCTGCAGGTCTGGCGAGGATCCCTCTGGATGAGGATGCCGATGTGTTCCGCTTGAACCGGTAGTTCTACCCTTAGTTCCCAATCACACGGTGCTCACGTACAGAGGGCTTCCCTGTTTTGTGCCGGTTGACTTGTGTGCCGGTGCCCGGTACGTACTGCTGGTGTTTTCGGCGGGCACACTCCGGATTTCCAAGTCATGTCAATACTTCGAACGGTGCCGGTCCGTTCTATGATGGTGGTCCGTTATACAAGTATGGCATAGTGCTGGTGAATTATATCGGCACTAAACAGGGACATCTACTGCACCTAAGACGTTGTCCTCACACGAACGAAAAACGAAGGTGTCCGCGGAAGACAAGGCCTCCGGCAAGGTGCAGCAGATCACCATCACGTCGGAGAAGGGGAGGCTTTCGGACGAGGAGATCGAGCGAATGGTCAAGGAGGCGGAGGAGTTCGCGGAACAAGATCGCCGAGATCGGTACGTAACTGTTGCCTACAGTAATCATGTGTTTTTTGTGCTTAACACCAGCAGCTGGTGTCACTGATATCAATTACCGGTGTACAGGCTTTAGAACAGCCTCGAAATAAGCCCAGTACCCAACCGGTTTCCCTCCACTCTCTGCAAAGACTCCAGCACATCCTGTTCGACTGCGGGGTGCATCTCGAACGGGTAGTCTTCTGGGGTAGTTTTTTTTTCTTCCTGATTCTGTTGAGGAGGACCCGATTCCTACGGCGTTCGTCGATCCACTTTTACCATATTGGGTACAACCCTCCGCAATAGGTACGTACATGCCCTTTTCCGTAGGTGATGGAATGTACCTCCTCCCGATTGGTAAATTTGCGTGTCATACGTATGTACATGCTTCCCGTAAGTGATGGAAGATCCTACCACCCCCGTTGGTACGTAGGTATGGTACGTACTTGTTTTTCCCGCACGTGATGGAAGATAACACCCTTCCCCCGATGCATGTATGCATGCATGCATGGTTTTTCCGTAGGCGATGGAAGATACCACCCGGCTGTATCGTTTGTTCAACTCGTTTTGCTTGTTGCGTCCGTGGTTCCCCCCACCCGGTATGTTGTGCAAAATATGACTTCTATGTTAGGGCGCTGTTTCCACTTGTAGTTAAATTTGTCCTTTTTTTTTTTTTTGGTGCAGGGCGAAGGTGGAGTCCAGGAACAACCTGGAGACCTACCTCTACAACTTGAAGGCGTCCTACGAGGACACCCTCAAGGACAAGATGGCGGAGAACGACTTGGAGGAGCTCAAGAGCGCGGTTGAAGGTGGTCTGGAGGTACGTCAGTTTCATTCTGTACAAGGCTGTTGTTGAGTTGAAGCGCCACCCCTCAGCGGGACCACCTACGCGGGATTTTAAGAGTATCTAGAAAAAGAAGAGGGAGGGGGTACGCAGACCCAATCCCTAACCCTAACCCCCACCCCCAAATCACGGATTAATTCTTTTGTCCCATATGTTTGCTTCATCGATTTTGCTGCGTTAAGACTACTTTACCTTAGCGGTTGAGAACGTGAGCCTGCTGATTTCCTAAATCTACGAACTTGGCCATTTAGAACAGGTGCTCAGTCAAGAATACAACTAAGACCTGTACCGTAGCCTTTGGGACACCCCATTGACGAAATACGAAACAAGCCTCGGCCGAGACATATGCTTTTGGTTAAAGGGATGACAAAATAATTTTCTGGGTGACCGACTTTGAAGAAAACCGCAAGAGCAGCAAAAATGCGCACGAGACCCACAAGACCAGTCGGAAGACATCGGGAACAACAGACATCGTTGATTCTCGCACAGAGAGGCAGTAGAAGCTGCTCTGAATATACGTATCATAGGTCGACCTCCACGCCTGCTTTGAAATCAAGATATGAATTCACACCAGTCTATATTCATGGAAACAAACGCAAAACGGCAGGCGCTCGCACAAAGTCGGTTTTGCTTGGTTTCATATGATATCGCTAGGGGACACCCTATGGCGGCGGGGGGGGGGGGGGGGGGGGGGGGGGGGGGGGGGGGGGGGGGGGGGGGGGGGGGGGGGGGGGGGGGGGGGGGGGGGGGGGGGGGGGGGGGGGGGGGGGGGGGGGGGGGGGGGGGGGGGGGGGGGGGGGGGGGGGGGGGGGGGGGGGGGGGGGGGGGGGGGGGGGGGGGGGGGGGGGGGGGGGGGGGGGGGGGGGGGGGGGGGGGGGGGGGGGGGGGGGGGGGGGGGGGGGGGGGGGGGGGGGGGGGGGGGGGGGGGGGGGGGGGGGGGGGGGGGGGGGGGGGGGGGGGGGGGGGGGGGGGGGGGGGGGGGGGGGGGGGGGGGGGGGGGGGGGGGGGGGGGGGGGGGGGGGGGGGGGGGGGGGGGGGGGGGGGGGGGGGGGGGGGGGTGTAAGCGTGAGCGAGCTCAAATCTGCTTCTTGGGTGGTGATATCGAGGGTTGTTGTAGCGGCCCACAATCTCCGCAATCTCCGCAATTGTTCGCATGGTAGATCGACACCCTGCGTCTTATACGTCTTGTGCTCGCCGCTGCTGACCCCGATCTCCTAAACTGCGGGATTACAGCAGTAGCTAACGACCCTCCGCTCAGGGGTTTTCGGTCCGTGGCGGTGAGCACGGCTGTGACAAATGTTGGGTTTTGACGCAGATTACGGAGTTCTTTCATAGACTGCTGCAACTTCGATATTTCAGCTCCAGTGGCAAACCTGAACGTGCCAGCACGCACGACACCTCTTCACGGTGTCCTTCCACTGATGACAGTATGTATGTAGAATGCATACGATCTCAACGGCGGGAAGGTTGCCTTTTCTTCTTATATTGGATTAAGTATGAATATTGAGCCGGCGTCAGAAGGGGTTCTCTGCCACCCCTCAAGTGGTGGCGCGTTCGGTACTCATTTTATGCTACTACACGTTTCTCACTTCTCCTGGAAAACATACAGTCGTAGGCCCTCCACAAGGCGGGTATTTTTTATTTTTTTTTGTCTTCACTTCAAATCAGCGCTCACAGCACTAATGCCGTTTACTCCAACCCGTGGTCACACAGAAGAGCCCCTCTCTGCCCACACCTTCTGCGGTACTTTGCCTTCGATTTTTAATGCGAGAAGAGTTCAGCACTCTCTTCCCTCTGTGTACACACGAACTAGTGCTATCCACTACGCCAGGAGCGGAAGCGAGAGAAAAACGCACTTTGCAAGAAAAGCTCGCTTTCGCCGGAATTCGAACCTATACCAACTAGACCACCGGGGCGATGCGCCAGGCCGATTCACCCGCCCTGTACAGGGCACTAGCCTTATTTAATGTGGAGAACAGCTTGATTTTTCCTGATGTGCAAGTCAATTTTACCCGCCTTACATATCCCGTCTTCTAGAGGGCCTACGACTGTAAGCTGAAACTGGGTGGCTGCTGCACACTTGTGGCAGTAACAACTGGAGCCTGCACCGCCAAAGAGGAGTCCTGGCAAACATGAACTGGATTGCCTACTGAGCAAAACTGGCGAAACAAAATAACTCGAAGGCATGCATGTCTAACAAAAGTGTTTCGCCAACGTCGGGTCTTGCCTTCTCATGTAGAATGGCAAATGCAATGCTGACGGGACGTGGATGGAATGATTTTGAGACTCGGAATCCATGCTTGTACTCGCAGGTCCAACTTTTCCGTGTCGTCTTACACCCTCCCGCTCTTTCGCGGGAGCTGATATGTGTTCAGTTCAACCCCATGCTTTTGTATGCGAGTTGACGACCGCAGCGATCTACTGGCCTTTCAGTTTGATTTTTTTTTATGTCCACTCATGCACTCTCCCTGGTTGCGGGTCATCACTTTGGAGAAAATCAAACACACGGATTTCGTTCGGAAATGAGAAATCAGTGAATGTACAAGGCCGTGTTTCATGTGTTGCAGCTTTCTTGTCGAATCTAGAACGTTTCCTCGTGGGTGGTAATGTGGATAGGCATCCGTCGGGTGTTCGACGAAATGAAACTGAGTCGTCTTGTTTTTTTTCCCCACGCATCGCTGTACTGTCGTGCTGCAGTGGCTGGACTCGAACCCAGGCGCGGAGGAGGAAGACCTGGTGGACAAGCTCAAGGAGGTGGAGGGGGTGGCAAATCCCATCATCGCTCGGTGAGTGTTCTTGTGGTCCTTCTCTTCGCTTCGTGCCCTATTTTTTTTCTGTTTTCGTTTTTCTTACAAAACGCAACAACTTCAGCTCTTGCAACAGGTAAGAATCCGTGGTGCATTTTTTTTCATTGGTCGATGGTGGCTTATTTTCTTGGTCGTAATCCACAGATAAGAGTTCTCTGAGTTCGTATTTAATCTTTTCTTAATGCGCTGTGGGAGTCGTCGATGGTGGCTCTTGGTCCAGTAGAGGTCCCTGTTTAGTGCCGGGGTACAGTATGCGCAAAAATTCACCGGCACTATACCGGGCACCGGCACTGTTCAAAGAACAGAACGACTTGATATATTCCAGTGTGTGCGAGCCGAGAACACCGGCACTATACCGACAGCCGGCACTATTCAACCGGCACTGAACAGGGACGCCTCCTCTACTCGTCGTGGTCCTGTGTGTAAGGCCCCGTTGCATCGGTAATTTTTTTTTTTCTTGTCGCTAGGGTTACGATCTCAGACCTCAACTTCGCACGACGAGTAGTCGCCTGTGCTTTGTTGCATCTCCTGGACACACACGCACTTTTTTTTGTTGACAACGACAAAGGGCTTCGGCGTTTCTTTGTAGCGTTCCTACAAAACTGACTTGTTGCCGTTGACCAGCCGGTTAGCGCAGTCGATGGTTTCAATACAAGAAACACACACACTGTCCAAATCTTGAGCCGGTTTCTGCCCCTTGGTTTGTTGTTATCCACCAAGGGGGGCGCTGGCTGGCAGTTCGCGGCGACACAGCAGCTTTGGCAACGCAACGCTATAACGTAGATGTTCCATTTGGTGTTGCCCCCTTGACCTATATAGCTTGAAAAGGCTTCGTCGGGTGCAACACCGATGGAGTCGCTCTGAGTCCCGAAAAATTATCCCTTCGACTGCTGGTGTGGTGGGGTCTCGAACGGGTAGCCACTCTGTGACTGTTGTGTGTTTTGTACAATACCTTGAACAAGCTGCACACCCACGAACCAGAAAAAAACTTGGGTTCATTGTCCCGCAGTGTGCGACTGGTCTCTCTCTCTGCTGCTCGTTTTGTCGCCAATCAGCGCGGTCCACGCTGCTATCAACAAAGAAGCAAGAAGGCCTAGCATACCTACCTCTGGCACCGTCCGATTGTTTTCCTCTTCTCCCTTCAGCTCGCTTTTTGGCCGTGACTGGTTGGTGTCGGTTGACCAAACGTGTTCGTCCAAGCAGTATTTTTACCCATTGGCTTGGTTAACCCAGTACTGCCGCTATCATATTTTTCACTCTCCACCAGGGCGTACGAATCGACCGGCGGGGGTGACGCAGATGGCGGCTTCTCGCAGGGCGCTGATGGGGGCGCAAGCGCGGCAGAGGAGGAGGAGCTGAACGCGGAGCCCCACGTGGAAGAGATGGACTGATCGTTGTTGACTGAAATACAGCGCCCCAACACATTTCTACGACCGTGCCGTGTTCTTCACTTGGCCAACCTTTCCCGGCGAGGCGGTATGGGCTTGATCGAGATCGATGACCGTATGTCTATCCCGTCGATGCTGCTGCTGCTGTGCCGGCGGAAGAGTCGTTGACGTGATGATGATAGAAGAGTGCCGTCCGTGGCCGTGTTGTGACAACTGATGGAGGAGGAACACGGGGAACTTGGCTGCCGATCCGCAGAGAAACTTGCCTCACTCGGAGGAGACAAGATCGGATTATCGAGCGTATTCCATTCCTGAAGAGCCCGGGGTTGGGAGAACAGGAACTGCCCTCGACCTGGTTTCTGTCTCCGTTGAGAGTTGAACTATTTTTTGTGGGTGGATAGAGGGGTAACAGCTCGGCTTCGTGAGAACGGCGACACTCGTGTCTGTCTCCTTTGAGAGTTAAACTGTTGTGGGTGGATAGATGGAAGGGATTCCTGTAAGTGTTATCATGATGGGATGGATGGGATTCCTGTACTGGACATGGTACGGGACAGAATCACGCACACCCCATCGGACTACTTGGTTTTTGATCGAGACGTCCAGATGTAGGTTCATGTGTGATCTGACAACAAGTTGCGGACGTAGGAGTTTGGGAGGGTGTTTTTTGTGTTGGGCGAAGGGTGTGGATCTGCAAGAGGTTTGTGCTCTCTTGCAACTGTATTATTACAACTTTTAGTCGTCAAAGTGTACCCGTGCCTACCTGGCTTCGTTCCGGACTGAACTTCACGCTGCAAAGCGAGTGTGGGGAACATCTGCTCCCCTTGGCCAACGCCAAACGTACAAATAGCAACGTCCAATACTCCTGAAGGCTTGCTGGTACGGCTTTCGGGACGGGAAGAACAGTCCTTGCGCGAAGAGTTGATGCGCGTCTACGGCACAACGGAAGCAACAGGTCTCCAAGCTTCCGCGGGAGGACTCCCTCGCCGAAACTCATCTTCGGAGCACGCAGGATATGCAATTGTTTGTTACCGCGAAAGGTACCCGTCCTCCTGCCCTGTGGCTGCGCGCCATCAGGGCAGCAATAGACGCCTAAAATTGTCGAAATACATCCTTCTCAAAACGAAAAAACAAGGAAAGAAAAATGGGAACACAACGGTCCTCGGTGCATCACGATGGGTGTTTTACAGAGTTTTTTTCTGCAACACGCAACGCTATGCTCTTCTGCCAACAGCAGCAGCCTCACACACGTGTCGAAACACGAACAAGAGGGCAAAAAAACGACAGCTAACCTCAACGTTCACTTATCGATCCATACACGGGCAGGCGTTGTTCACCAACCAACTGAGAAAAAGGCAGTGGCTCTTCGTCTCGTACAGCGTCTTCCCCTGAGTGCTTGCAACTAACTGCATCAACGGGTCTCGAATGATGCATGCAGAACGCGCCGCCTCCAATTTGTGTCTTGTTTTTAGGGAAAACAAGCTACCTCAAAACCAGACCAACGACTACCGCCGGATAACGCCCGCACTCAAGAACCTCTTCAGTTTTGGCCGAGGTTGAGGTTCTTAGTTCCTAGGGTCACGGTGCAAATGGCCGCTCTATGGATTTTGTGCTTTTTTAGCTTCATTTTTTTCAGTCGCCAAGTTCTTAATACGGGCGCTAACTGTACCCCGACATCGTCAACACGGACGACCAAGATCGCCGCGAAACCGCCCATCAATACTTATCATCTCATATCTGCACGGCGACTCCCAACATCAACCCTTCATCAACAAACGGAGTCCAACAGCCGCTGCACCATTGCTCAGTACCAATACATAACACGGGTTCCAACCCAACCAAAACTGGCCACAACCAACCATAACCAAACCGGCTCAACCTCGACTCAACGCCAACAAACAGCCGCAATCCCGACCCTCGATCAATAGGCAGGGCCTCAGCATTGTGAGGAGGCCAGCCGCGGCACCTCCGCACCGAGAGAGGTCGCTATCAATGAAGGCAGCCGAAAGGCCCAACGATGCTACCCAACAACGCTCCCCACACCCCGGCAGCACCGTCGAGTTTTAGTCCCACGTCCTATTCACCCCATAAACATTACAAATACATCCGACGTCATTAGCACGAACTGACCAAGGCCAACGGAAAATCACCCCAACCTTTAACGTCTTGCTCCGCACGCGACTCTCAACGAAAAAAAAAAAATACTACTCCCCTTTCCCCATCCAAAGCCAACCAACTCCAATCCCGATCCCGACCCACCACCTCGCGCCCCAACCACCGAAACCTTCCACGGTACTGGACCCATAAACCGTAGCACACAAGTACGACCGTTTGCAAGGTCTCTGTTTGTCTGCTCGACAAAAAGAAAAAAACGGTGCTCCCTTTCCCTTCCCGCCCCTTCCCCTTCCCTGTCTCCCGCGACACGTGGGTTGTGCGCGTGCCGGACCGGAACCTCCATACAGTAGTTCGAGTGCGGCCACCCGTGTGGCAGAGCAGCGGCCCAACCCACCCTGAGCGCACTTACTTTTCACAAGGCCAGCCCATCCCACAGTACTCTGAAAAACCATCAAGACGCCGCCCGCTCCGCTCCCTCACAAGACGGCGCGTCCATTGCAACCCAGGCCATGATATGTACCACCTTTCGCGGAACGACACCCCGATCTCCATGGCGCCGGCCTCGGCGTCGTCGCCGTCGCAGTTCTTGCCCTTGCTGTTCTCCGTCATACGAGCCGCGGCAACACGGAACATTCCGTGCTGCCACGGTTAGTATAACGGAGGCGCTCCACGCAGTCAACTAACTACGAACAGACTTGCGGGAAAAATGGGAACGTATCCAAAAATGAGAATTGGCGTTTTTCTTCAGAACCATCGGGTGTATCACAGAACCAAAATTATCCTGCGAAACCCCTTCGCCCCAGCTGTGAGATGCTATGGAAGATGACAATACATAGAGCGCTCTATATATTGTCATCTTCCATAGGTGAGATGAGCTCATCAGAACCGCCATGCTCCACATCACGCCTTCTCACGGGCGCAAAAAGCGATTCGTGCTGGTTTCGACCTGATTTCTCGCGATGCTGGCTACCTCGGCGATGCCGAGGACATACAGCTTGAGGAACAGCTCATTCGAAAGCTGCTGTAAATACCTACAGCACTGTCAACTTTTTTGGGGGGAGTTGCAAAGGCGTGGTTTGCTTTCTAAATACAAACGCCCATTCCCATTTTTGGATACGTTCCCATTTTTCCCGTAAGTCTGTTTACGACTGACTGCCCTCTGGGTCGCGATGGCCGGGGGCATGGTATGTCCCATGGCGGCCATGAGCTCGCTGCCCCGCCATTCATTCGGTCTCAGCCACCGCCACCACGGCCGCATCCCCACGAATCATCTGGAAGACAGCTAGCTCCGTACCTTACCAGGCCCGCCGATGGTGAACTCCGCCGGCCCCGTCCTCTTCCTGCGGGAGAAACAAGTCACCGACCGCCGTCCAGGCCGCGGTCTTCACGACGTCCCACCGCCTACGACACCGGCTCCACTTCTGCCTTCACCACCTCCACCGGCACCGGCTGCTTCGCTTCCCGGGGTGATACGGTCAAAGGCGGCTGGCCGGCCGGCTCGACGCCCCCAGCCACCATCGCCACGGTCTTGACGCTTGCGCGACGGTCGTGAAGGCCTTGGCGGCGGTGGTTGGGGGCGTCGAGCCGGCCGGCCAGCCGCCTTTGACCGTCTCACCCCGGGAAACGAAACAGCCGGTGCCGGTGGAAGTGGTGAAGACAGAAGTGGAGCCGGTGTCGCAGGCGGTGGGACGTCGTGAAGACCGTGGCCTGGACGGCGGTCGGTGACTTGTTTCTCCCGCAGGAAGAGGACGGGGCCGGCGGAGTTCACCATCGGCGGTCCTGGCGACGTACGGCGCTGCCGTCCATATCATCATTAGAATGCGGCGGTGGTAGTGTAGTGGCGACTGAGACCGAATGAGTGGCGGGGCAGCCAGCTCATGTCCACCATCGGGCAAGCCATGCGCGCGGACGTCGCGATCGGGGTGACGAGCGCGCTGCGGGCGCTGGACGAGTCCCCGACGAGCGGCAAAGCGGCCTTCCGATTTCGTTCGGCCTCAATAAATGAAACAGCGAGAATAATGAACGGGAGCGGAGGGGAGGGGGTCCGTGTGGTACATGTGTGTCCAACCAATCCTCCCAGAATCGCCATCCGCGAGCCCTACAAGCTTCGGCGCGCTATCGTACGGAGGACATCCGTCAAGTGACGATGCTGGCCGTGGCGGAGATAGGGTGGCGGAACAGGGAGATGCACACTCTCGTCGTCTGAGTCGAACTCGACCGCATCCGTGACCCAAAAAGCGCCAAGCAAGCGGACCTGTCCATCGAAATGCCTGAAAACAGGGCAACACCGACCGGAATAGATGGGGGTGGGCGGGGGCGGGAGGGGACGGGACAGGAGGGGAGGAGGGGAGGAGAGGGAAGGCAAGCGTCAGTGTGGTACACCTGAGTACAACCACTGGCCAACACCATCATCAGGCAGGCATACCATCTGAAGCCGGCATTCTACAGCAGATACTTGCCCCGCGTCAGACGGGCATCCTCATTGTCTGTTGGATGTGTCCAAGGTTTCTAGAAACACCTAAGCTGAGGTGAGTTCTTGTCCAGACCTGAATTACGAGGATTTCACCTCACGCAGTCGAACCAAGACTCAGCCAGCCGGTTAGCGCCGCAGAACGCTACCAACACACGCCAAGCTCAATAGCCAAGGGGGAAAAATCAAGGCATTCTTACCCGGGTCGTTAGGTCCAAGACCAACAAATATACACACGACCAGAGATACGTTGACTACCCCCGGCCTTGTGAGATTCGGCAGAGCGCATTGATAGGTGCTTTGACAGGAGCTTAACGGGAGAGGCATAACTGGTGCGAACATGTCAGGAGCTCCATACTTTCAACGATTACAAAATTTCCTTGTTTGGTTGCCCTCGATCTTCGGTCTAGCGTTCGAGACTACACACCCTGCCTACTTTGTGCGTAGGCGTGCCCGTGGGTCTGAGAGTTGTTTCTACGATCGGCGGAGACACAGGGAAAGAAGGAGAGTGTCCACGAGGAAGATGGCATCGACAAATGAACGTAACCACGAGATGAACGGGAGGGGGTCAGTGTGGATGGGGGGAGAAGGTTGAAGAGGGGATGTGGTTAATCAACCATTCCTCCGTTGTCTCTGCACACGTTCGTTTGTCGATGTCGCTCCATTCACACGTTGGTGTCCTCGGCACGTACAGGAACAACGCGACGGTAGAAGTTAACACGTCGCGGCGGTGAAAAATATTTTCGGTGCTTTCAACGGAACGTGGGTCCTGGGCAGGTGTAACCACATGCTATTGCCCAGGACTCATGTCCCGTAGAAAAGTTCGATACCACGGCAGAACGCCAAACAATATTTAGTATCGCCGCGACGCGTAAAATTCTACGGACTCCTTGTTCATGACGTGCCAAGGACACGAACGTCTGTCTGTATGGCTCGGCATCGACAAACGCGCGCAACCAACATATGAACGGGAGCGGAGCGGAGGGGAGCGGATCAGTGTGGCACGGGTGCGTCCAACCACTGGCCCAATTGCACCATCTTTGTCATCAAGGCTGGTGCTCGTCAGGCGTTCGTTCTCACCAGAGCAACACCAATCTGTTTCGAAAGCATCGACAACAACTACAGCAGCAGGGGCATCATATCACCACCGGAACACTCATCAGTGCGACATCAACAAAACAGAAGAAGCAGCATCAGCTTCCGCGGCATCGGTAGCCACTGCAGCAACATTGCAGCAGCAGCAACCACAGTACCTGTGGTGCAGAAAAAAGGAATGCCGTACAGCAGCAGTACGGGTAGCATCACATTTGTCCAAACCATGGCCGGGTAAGCAAGAGTGAACAAGGCTACACCATCCTCCCGGAGCAAAACACGATCAGGACTGACGGATTCAAAACTTGGAACGATGTGGTGTTCTTTCTCAGCGGGGGGTGACATGCACACCAGGCGAGGACTTTTTGCACCCGGCGCAGGAGACCGCATCTAATCCAATACTTACACGACACGTTCCCGGATACAATTATGGAGACAGAATACGACAGGAATGACACGGTCGTTCGTGGGGTGTGCATTCATGGTCAGTGAGCAGGTCGGCAAGGACCGGCGGTGGGGGCGGAGTACGAGCAAGAACAACAGGGGAGGAAGGAACAAGGCCCCGGAAGCCTGCGCACAGAAGGCCCGCCAGGCCCGCCAGCATTCTCGGTGAGGATAACATCCGCGGGTGGATGGTAAGGGCCAGCCGATGGGCGTGGATGAAGGGATGGCCGAGAAAGGGTTAGGCGAGAACCCAACGAACACCGGCTTCCGTCGCGTGCTGTGGGCGACGAATTGGCGGCGGCGGCGGGGCGGTCGGCGCCATCGTCTTGGCGCTCACCCCTTCGAGCAGAATCGATGCATCGATGTATCGATTCTACTCGAAGGGATGAAGGCCAAGACGACGGCTCTGGTCGCCCTACCGCCGCCAGTTCGTCGCCCCGCCCTGCACGTGAGTGAAGTCCGCGTTCGTTGGATTCCCGGCTACACCTATCCCGGCCACCACCGCCTCGACACTCCGAAAAAGGTCGGCCGGCCCTACCATCCGCCCGAGGATAATCTCGTCCTCGCCGAGCATGCTGGCGGAGCGAGCGCGTCGAGCACGGCGGCAGAGGAGGGCACGTCAACATTTCGACGGCAGCGTGTCCAACACACACGGCCTACCTTAATGCTGACGTGTTCGCCTGCTTATGTTGAGACAACGACGGGCAAGATCGCAGCGTCATCAGTCCATCCTATCCTATCCCATCCCATCCCATCCCATCCCATCCCATCCCATTCCACCCCTTTGCCATCTCTCTCCCTCCCTCTCTAACCATGCGCTGTGCGCGTGGCATCGAGCATGTTTCGGGGTGGACACCGCAGTGGCACACTGAGGTGAAATAGCTGTTGGGTGCCATGGAAGATTGGATGTCCACCGCTGAAAAGTTGCGGGGGGGGGGTAATCACTTGTTGATTTTCCGATTGGATGCGGAGGTTGCGGAAACAATACCGATTGGGGGGAAGCATTTCCTGTGAATGTATGACATGCGACCCCTCTTGACACCCAAGGACCCCCCCCCAGGCACAAACGCTACATGATACCATCATCATCAACAGATAGGGGGTCCCGATCGCCCCCCAGGTCTTCGATCCCACCCAAAGCTCGTCCCCATCAAGCGCCAAGACGAGGGCTCCGATCGCCCCGCGGCCGCCAGTTCTCCGCCCACAGCACGCGAGGGAAGCCGGCGTTGGTTAGCTTCTCGGCCAACCCAATCCCTTCAACGGCTCCCGGAAATATGTTGGCCGGCCCCTACCACCCGCCCGCGAATGGTCTTCGCCGAGTATGCTGGCGGGGCGAGTGGGGCGAGCACGGCAGCGGCGGCGGGAATGTCAACACTTCGACGGCGGACGGTGGCGTGTCACGGCCACCATCGCAACGCTGACTTGTCCGCGTCTGTCGCCCCGCTCACCCCGCTCGCCCCGCCAGCGTACTCGGCGAGGACAAGATCCTCGGGCGGGTGGTAGGGGCTGGCCGATGTTGCTCCGGGCGTTGATGGAGTGGTGGTCGGGCTGGGATTCAGGGAGGACAACCCAATGAACGTCGGCTTCCTCGCGTGCTGTGAGTGGCGGTGGAACATTCAGCATCGCCATGGCGCTTATGCCGGGGCCGACACCTTTGCAGGATTGTGAAGACCTGGAGTAAGTAGAAGGGCTCAATCGGGACCTTCCTTCAGTTGATGATAGTAAAAATACCTCGAGTAGCCTGTAGCGTTTTTTTCTGTGGAGGGCTCTTGGGCGTTACGAGGGGTCGTATAGCAGCAACCGTAGCTGTTACTTCTCCACGCAAACGCGCTCTCAACAGATTTTAAATAGTCGAAGAGAGTGATAGGGCATCATTCTTACTAATTGTTTGATGAACACCACGTCGCAGCAGACTCGATACATCGTCTCACTGGTAGTCAGAGGGGCAGGTTGAGCACGAACTACAACATGGGGGGGAGGTTGGGAGACCAACTTCGACCTTGAACCCACTCTTTTTCCACATGCAGCCCGCTGTGTTGGCAAAACGCCACCATCTGAAATGCGCGATTACTTGCACACTTTGGGCTGCAACCTCCCTGCAACCCCACCCCCCTCAGGTTGGGGGATGCGTGTGCA